CGCCTAGCCGTGCACGCGCTGTGCTCGACTGTCGCAGGCATTGCAGCTAGTAGTACCGCGCGACTGGGTCCTAGCCTGGCTCGATATGGTCGAACAGCGGAGAAGAAACTAGCTCATAGTCTCATCGTTTCTTATTGACATGCTTGGCTGAATAACAGTCGCTACGAAGCAATTTGTAGCGCTTTACGAGAGTTTAACTTCCTTATGGCGATATTTCATACAAATCTCTCAAGCAACGCAGGTCAGAGTAGCAGAAACTCAAATGCTAACAAGTGAGGGCAGCCCATGGACCACCGAACAACGGCTGCTGGAAGGTGGAACAATTTCCTTTTTTCCAAGACAGCCGCCCAACTGCTTATCAATCTCCTCAAGTATGCTGATACAGCAATCTCTTACGTTCTGAAACGCTCAATCTGTAAAATTTACGCGACGACATGGCGGACGGGACGTGGAGGTAGGAAACAACTACTGTTGGACCTCTCTGTCTGGCGCACGATGCGGGGGCCTCCACCTCTCTTCAAAAGGACGGCATGGGGAAATGTCGATTCGTTCAACACCACCCCACAGTTTCTCAATTCCATTCCAAAGCTGAAAGACCGAAAGGGGACATGCTGCCTCAGGGGTGTCGCGTTAGGGCTCCACGACCAATGGTCGTGCTTGCATGCGAGCCGCGTCCAGGCGTGGATAGAGTTAGAGCGCTTCGTCGTGAAGAGTTGACCACGTCGGACGGGCGAAGGTCGGGGATTGGCACGTCGCTTGAACGCACCGCACGGTGGCTGAGGCTCAGGATGGACACTGGCAGTCACTGACGCCGAAACTGGTAACTTACGAAAACGATTCGTGTTATGAGTTGTAAAAGAGAGTGCGCAGGTAAACTGTAAGGAAAATTCCTTTTCCTTACTTCGTGTAAAGAAAATCCCTTTTCCTTACTTCGCATCCCTGCTCAACGCGTACATCACTGTAGCACCTCAGTCAGCACCGTTACCACTCGCGATCCTCGCATCGACAATCATCCCGCCATCTTCGCACATCGCACCCCGACCTCACGGCTCGGCTGGTAACCCGCGCTCCGGGCCTCCGCTTCGACACTTTCCCAACCTCAGTCCCAGGCTCGTCACACGACAACCACAGTCCATTACCGTTACCACTGTAGTTTCGCTATATATTCTTCGCTCATGCCTTCGCTCATTGTATTCTTGCTTCGATAGTGCAGTTCTCGTTCTTTCTCTCAATTGCACTCGTAACACTTGGTATTCAGAGCCTACGATCTCATCTCGGACCGCATCCACATTTTCGCTTCCCCACTATCTCAATTTTTGGGGGGGGGGGTAGACGTCTCTTAGCGATACAGCACCGCCGCTCGTAGTGCTCTCTCGTAAGCACGCACGGCCACGACCGAGGCTCTCGCTGAGCTTGCCCGACACCCCCGATTTCACGCTCGCCACATTGACGCAGGAGCAACTTGATCGTCTCGTGCGTCAACTAGAAGATTCGGCGCTCGAAATCGCGACGCTCACGGCGGAACGTGACTCCGCCCGTCAACAATCCACGGTGAACATTCCGGCGACACCACACGCACCGACGGCATCTGCACAATCGGACGAGCCGATCATCATCTCGTCCGGCACACCAACACAACACGACAGCATGGGACAACGCTCAGGCGCAGCCAATGATGGCGCCGCCCAACCGATGCCTGGCATGGGGGGAGGCAGGATCGCACCAAGCCCGCGGGAGCCTCGGGAAGCCCGTCGGCACGTGGAATTTGCGGCAACAAGTGGCGAACAGGCCATTATGGCACCAATGCCGCTCAAGCCGCAACGCCCGCCCTGCTTCGACCCAAGCCAACGAGAAAGTCCGACGGTTCAATCGTGGGTCTTCACGATGAACGTCTTCTTCGACGCAAACTACGTCGAGTCGGACGCCGCGAAGATCCGTTATGCAGTTTCGCTGCTAAGGGGCCCCGCCATGGACTGGTGGCGAGTCATCGTGACATCGCCACGCGCCTACGAGCCACCGTCGCACGAGGAAGGGCCCACGGGTCCAGCTGTCACCCGGAGTTCGTTCTGTGAGACCGCCCAATACAGCACGTGGGATGCGTGGTGCGCAGGACTACGGGCGCGCTTAGAGCCGATCGCGGCTTCGATTTCGGCGCGTCAGAGATTGCGCACTTGGCGCCAGCTCGGGTCGGTTCAAGATTATACAAGCGGTTTTCTCGCACTTTGCGAACAGATCGGCTACATGCACGAAGCGGAGCGGGTGGACCGTTACATCGGAGGGCTGAAGCCGGATATCTCGCACGAAATCATGCTGCGCGGACTCTCTAACTTCAACGAGATTCTCGCGCTCGCCGAGAAAATCGACATTCTATGCCGACCGAGACCAGAATCCTACTACGGACATCGCCCTCGGGGACCGACCGAGCACGCCACTGTACACGCCGTCGCAACGAATGCAGCTGCCGCACCGTTCAAGGGGCGCTGCTTTGCTTGCAACAGGCCGGGCCATCGCAAGAGCGAATGCCCAGAGGAGCTGAGGCGCCGCGGAGCAGAGCAGGGGAGGGAGTCTCAGAGGCAGGGAAACGCCAGCAGTCAGTAGAAGTTGGGCAAACTACTGACGAGACTGCCTGCTCGCCCAACCGCACCGACCCTCACCGAGTCACAGTACCGATTCACGCCATCGATCGGGCTCGGATGAATAAGGAGGGTACAGCGACGGATTGCCCAGTACTGATCTACGGGAAGATACAGGGAGCAGCAGTGAAGATTTTTATTGACGGAGGAGCAAGTCATAGTTTAGTTAATACCGCGACCGCACCGAAACTACAGTTAACACTTAACCGCTGCTTATGTGAGATAGACGCACGCTTAGTCGACGGCACGCCACTGGCCATACGGGAAAAGGTGGAGCGAGTAAAAATCCGCTGCGGAGGGAACTTCGGGTTTACACATGAAATGCTCGCCACGACACTGGATGGGCACGACATTTTATTGGGACGTGATTGGCAGCGACGGTATAACCCGCGAATTGACTGGACGACGGGTAGCTGCACCGTGCAAAGTAGTGGTAACTGGGTCGAACTACCTCGCTGGCGGTCACCCGATTCTTCAACGGTCCACGTCAACGCCATCACGATGAAACGGGTTGTTGCCGCGGGAGCTGACGTGTACGCAGTGGATATAGCACTAGTAGGAGAAGAGGAGCAGCCGAGCGATTTTCAGAGACTGTTGGCAGCGGTACCGCCCGTACTTCAGGATCTGTTGAGACGGTACCCGGGGATTTTTCCTGACGATTTACCGCAAGGACTGCCACCTCAGCGGGCGCATGACCATAGGATCGAGTTAGAACCGGGGGCACAGCCAACTGTACAGCGCCAGTTCAGACTGACACAGCCCGAGCTCGACGAACTAAGGAAGCAGTTAGATTATTTGTTAGAGAAGCAGTTTATCCGACCGAGCTCGTCACGGTTCGCCGCACCGATACTGTTCACACCGAAAAAAGACGGAGGATTTCGTATGTGCATTGATTACCGAGCGCTCAACAGAGTAACAGTCAAATCGCGATACCCCATCCCCTGCGCCGACGAACTGATCGACCAGCTGCGAACAGCACGGGTATTTTCGAAAATAGACTTACGGGGGGGTTACCATCAAATTCGGGTCGAATCATCGGACTGCGCCAAGACAGCATTTAGGACTAGGTACGGGTCATTCGAGTATACGGTGATGCCTTTCGGGCTGACCAACGCGCCCGCAACATTTCAGATGACCATGAACGAGGCGTTTAGGCCACTTTTAGATAAATGCGTGATAGTTTACCTCGACGACATCCTCGTTTACAGTCGCGACCAGCAGCAACACTTAGTCGTGTCAGATCATTATAGCTTATGCTTTTGTGTAGGCTATAGTGGGGTATCCCATAGGGGGTACAACCCAATTAGGGTTAGTACTTGTACCCACTTCATTCATAGTCCATTCATTCTCGTTCTCATTCTCACATGGAATCAGAGCAGGTCCCCTCCTAGGGACTGTTTCTTGGGCCCACCGAAGCGCGCCCCGAGGCGCGCGTTCTTTTTTTTTTTTAGCGAGCCATAGTGTCGCCCTCCCCCCCCCTCCCAGCGGCCCGTCGCGTCGCCTTTCGGTCGCGGCCCCGCCGCCCTACTCTAGCGGCCCCGCCGCCCTATGTCGCGGCCCCGCCGCCCTACCCTTCGACGGCGCCGCCGCCCTAAGTCGCGGCCCCGCCGCCCTACTTCGACGGCCCCGCCGCCCTACGTCGCGGCCCTGCCGCCCTACCCTACGTCGCGGCCCCGCCGCCCTACCCTTCGACGGCGCCGCCGCCCTACGTCGCGGCCCCGCCGCCCTACTTCGACGGCCCCGCCGCCCTACGTCGCGGCCTCGCCGCCCTACTTCGACGGCCCCGCCGCCCTACCCTACGTCGCGGCCCCGCCGCCCTACCCTTCGACGGCGCCGCCGCCCTACGTAGCGGCCCCGCCGCCCTACCCTTCGACGGCCCCGCCGTCCTACGTTGCGGCCCCGCCGCCCTACTTTGACGGCCCCGCCGCCCTACCCTACTTCGCGGCCCCGCCGCCCTACGTTGCGGCCCCGCCGTCCTACCCTACATCGACGGCCCCGCCGCCCTACTCAGCGGCCCGCCAGCCGCCCTACCTGCGGCCCACCCGCCGCCCGACCGCCGGGTCGCCCAGCCGCTGAGCCGCCGAGCCGCCCAGCAGCCGACCGCCGAGCCGCCGAGCAGCCGAGCCGCAGAGCAGCCGAGCCGCCCCGCAGCCGAGCCGCCGAGCAGCCGAGCCGCCCCGCAGCCGAGCCGCCCAGCAGCCGAGCAGCCGAGCCGCCGAGCAGCCGAGCCGCCCCGCAGCCGAGCCGCCGGCCGCTGAGCTGCCCTACTTCCATACGGCCCGTTCTACCCACCTTGGTGAGCACAGAGCCTTCTTTTTCACTGCGCTGCCCTCACCCTACCGCCTGCACTGCTAGGCGTCTGTCGTCATGGCTACCCCCAGTGTCCTCGCTTTTGACGCTGAGGGTCGGGCCATTGACTTTGAGGTCTGGGTAGATGACCTCCAGCTGTTCTTACAGTGCGATAGGGCAGACGGCCTCTCCCTCTTTGACCTTACCTCTGGCGCTTCCCCTGCCCCTGCTGCTGATGCTGACCCTACTGTTCGCTCCCAGTGGGCTACGCGCGGTGCTGCTGCACGTCTTGCTGTGCGTCGCCACCTCCCTACCTATGAGCGTGCGAACTTTAGTCAGTACAAGAGTGCTCAGACCTTGTACGACGCTGTAGTTGTGCGCTACTCCTCCCCTGCCACTGCTGCACTGAGCCGCCTCATGCTACCCTACCTCTTTCCTGACCTTGCCGCCTTTCCCACAGTCGCTGATCTCATTACGCATCTCCGCACTAGTGACACCCGCTACCGCGCTGCGCTTCCTGCTGACTTCTGCGCCAAGAACCCCCCCCCCCATGTACATCACTCTGTACTTTCTAGTCACCCGCCTCCCCGACTCCCTTCGTGTAGTCCGGCACCACTTCCTCGCGGTCTGTCCCACCACTCTCACAGTCGACAGCCTAGAGAAGGCCCTCCTAGCGGCGGAGAAGAGCATCGTCGCTGTAGGAGCCTCTCGAGGTGACCCCCGCGCCCCCATCTTTGAGGGGTGTTCTCCTTCCCCTCTCTTGCCCTCTGTCGCCTCTGCCGCTGCGACCGACCTCGTTGGTCTTGAGTCGGTCGGTGCGGCGTCTGCCCCTAGCGGGAGACGTCGCCCTGGCAAGGGCAAGGGGGGCAAGGGAGCGGGTGGGGCTAGCGGGGGCGGTGGCGGTGGAGGTGGAGGTGGCGGAGGGAGTGGGGGTGGCGGTGGAGGAGGTGGCGGGGGTGGGGGTGCTAGTGGCAGCAGTGGTGGCGGAGGCGGCGTCGGCGGCGGCGGTACCGGCGGGGGTGGCGGCGGTGGCGGAGGTGGAGGAGGTGGAGGAGGAGGTGGTGGAGGTGGTCGGAGTGGCACTTCACAGCGGAGCGCCACTGGGGGTGGTCAGCGCCAGCAGCAGCAGCAGCAGCAGCAACAGCGTTCTCGTGACGTCCCCACCCCTCAGCAGCTCCGTGAGTGGTACACGCAGCGTCAGCGTGGTGGGGGACTTGGTACCTGCACCTACGTCCTTCGCACCGGCGACCGCGCGGGTGAGCAGTGTGGGGGTGCCCACCCCACCCAGCGCTGTTTTGGCCGCCTGACGGACGCTTGGCGTCAGCAGTTTCCGGAGGCCACGGAGATCCCCCGCTGGGGAGAGCTGTCTAGGGCTGGCGTGGCTATCTTTGATCTTGACTTTGATGCTATCCTTGCTGCCATGTATGCTGTGACTATTAGTGATGAGGGTGACTGTTACCGGTGTTTCCCGCCCGACCCGGGCATTGGTACTGCTGCGCTAGGTGCTTGTGAGGCTACTGCTCTAGGTGCCAGTGCGTCTGCGCTCTCAGGTGCTAGTGAGGCTGCGCTCTCAGGTACTAGTGAGGCTGCGCTCTCAGGTACTGCGTCGGCTTCGGCCTCCCTCACCTTCACACTTGACTCAGGGGCTTCTCGCTCCTTCTTTCGGGACCGCACCACAGTCACGCCGCTTGGTCGGCCGGTTGCAGTGTCCCTGGCTGACCCCTCTGGGGGTCCTGTCCTCGCTCACTTCTCCACTGTCCTCCCGTGTCCGGCTGCCCCCTCGGGCACCCTGTCGGGTCTGTACCTCCCCTCGTTCTCGACGAACTCGGTGAGTGGTGCTGACCTGCAGGATGCGGGGGTTCACCAGTTTACTCCTGCGAGTCAGCGGGAAACCCATTGCTCGGACGCCCGCACAGGCCGACACCTAGCCACGTTTTCGCGTCGACCCGGGTCGAGTCTCTACACCCTGACCATTGAGTCTCCTCCAGTCCCTGCGTCTGGCCAGGTAGCTGCGTCGGGTCAGGTGTTTGCTGCTGCGTCCAGGTCTGGTCCTGAGTCTGCCCCCTGCTCGTGTCGCCTCCTGTCTCACGAGACTCTCTTGTGCCACCACCGTCTTGGCCACCCCTCCTTACCTCGTCTTCGGGGCATGGCTTCCTGTGTCCTTGTCTCTGGTCTCCCCCGGTCTCTCCCTCCCCTTCCTTCGGGGCCAGGACCTTCCTGTGTCCCCTGTGTCGAGGGGCGGCTCCGGGCTGCCCCTCACTCCTCCCAGTTTCCCCCGACAGAGGCTCCTCTGCAGACGCTTCACATGGACGTGTGGGGCCCGGCCCGCGTCCGTGGACAGGGTCACGAGCGCTACTTCCTGCTGGTGGTTGACGACTACTCGCGTTACACCACAGTCTTCCCCTTGCCCAGCAAGGGTGATGTCACTGAGGTGTTGATCGACTGGATCCGCGCGGCTCGTCTCCAGCTCAGGAGGAGCTTCGGCTCGGACTTTCCTATCCTGCGTCTGCACTCTGACCGAGGCGGAGAGTTCTCCTCTGGCCTTCTGCGAGCTTACTGTCGTGCACGAGGCATCCGCCAGACCTTTCACGCTTCCGGACTCTCCACAGCAAAATGGGATTGCTGAGTGCCGCATTGGCATGGTCATGGACGTCGCTCGTACGTCCATGATGCATGCGGCTGCCCCCCAAGTTCTGTGGCCGTTTGTGGTTCGGTACGCGGCGCATCAGCTCAACCTTCACCCCAGGGTCTCCCGGCCGGAGACCTCCCCAGCTCTGCTGTGGACGGGGAAGGTCGGCGATGCGTCTGCGTTCCGTGTCTGGGGATCTCGGGCGTTTGTCCGCGACCTGTCTGCGGACAAGCTTTCCCCTCGTGCTGCTCCCTGTGTCTTCCTAGGCTTCCCCCCTGACGCCCCAGGGTGGCAGTTCTACCACCCCTCCTCTCGTCGTGTTCTGTCCTCCCAGGACGTCACGTTCGCCGAGTCCGTACCCTTCTACCGCCTCTTCCCCTACCGCACTCCTTCCCTCCCGCCGCCGCCGCACTTCCTTGTGCCAGGTCCCCCCCCGGTAGACCCCCTTCCCCCTCAGGGTCCTGCCCCTTCAGGTGTGTCCCAGGTCGATGCAGTCGAGCCGGTCGAGGTTGCTGGTGACTCAGGTACTGCTGGGGGTGCAGAGCCTGGGGGTGGTGAGCCTGGGGGTGCTGACTCTGGGGGTGCTGAGTCTGGGGGTGCTGAGCCTGGGGGTGCGGAGCCTGGGGGTGCTGCCTCTGGGGGTGCTGAGCCTGGGGGTGCTGCATCTGGAGCTGCTGAGCCTGGAGGTGTGGAGCCTGCGGCCACTGGACCTCCCCTTGTGGCGGTAGGCGGTACTGGGCCTGGAGGTTCTCCGGGTGTTTCGTCTCGGCGGGAGCCACTCTCTCCACAGGAGCTGCGTGAGTGGTTTGCTCGCCGTTGGAGGCGTACTGCTGGAGCTGGCGCTTCTTCGGCCACTGAGGGTGCTGGTGCCGCCGGTCCCGGAGCTGCTGGGCCTGCGGGTCCGCCTGGAGCTTGAGCTGCTGAGGGTGTTGGTTCTGAGACTACTCCTGTCCGTCCTAGTGGTGGTCGTGCTGCGGGTGCTGCTGGTGCTGCTGGAGGTCCTGCCGCTGGAGGTGCTGTTGGCGCTGGTGCTGCCGGAGGTGCTGAGGGTGCTGGTGCTGTCCCTGCTGTCTCTGGTGCCGCCGCGCGGCCTCGGGCGTACTTCGTTCCGCTCCTGCAGCAGGTTCTTGGTCTTCCTCCTCTCTTAGAGGGTCCACCGCCTGTCCAGTCGCAGTCACAGTTACCGCCGGCCTCCCCACTGCCTTCTCCCTCTCCTTACACTGGTCCTACTGGAGGTCTTGCTGAGCGTCGTGAGCCTGCGTCTCGTCCTGTGTTGCCTGTTCGTGCTGCTCGCACTAGTGGTCGCAGTTCAAGTCAGCGTCCTCCTCCTGTCCCTGGCACGCACCGGATGTCTCTGCGTCCGTCCACTGCTCCTCTGCGTGCCCCTTTGCCCTCTCCTCCTGAGTCCTCTCTTCCTGCGCTTGCCGACCCTGAGTCAAACTCTCTTCGTGCTGCCAGTCCTACTGTCACGCGTCTCCTTGCTACTGTCGTCACTGACCCCTCCTTTGAGTCCACTGCTGCGTCTGCTCTTGTTGCCGAGCTCGTCGACTTTGCTGCTCGCTGTCGTCTAGACTACGCTGCTAGTCTTGTTGCTGAGTCTGCGTCTGTCTGTCATCCGTCCGTCGGGGGTGAGTGTGCTCTTGGCACGGACGTCCTTGAGGACAGGCAGGAGGAGTTTCAGTGTCTGGCTGCTGCTTCACCTCATCTCGCGTCTGTACTGCTTGCCCCTGAGGGAGACGCGGATGCACTAGACATCCCGACTCCGCGCTCTTACGCGGAGGCCGTAGAGGGTCCCTACTCCTCTCAGTGGCAGGCAGCTATGGATGCAGAGATGGCTTCCTGGAAGTCCACAGGCACCTACGTTGACGCGGTTCCCCCTCCTGGGGCGAACATCGTCAGTGGGATGTGGATCTTCAGGGTGAAGCAGCCGCCGGGCTCTCCACCTGTCTTCAAGGCGCGGTACGTGGCTCGTGGCTTCAGTCAGCGGCAGGGAGTTGACTACTTTCAGACCTTCTCTCCCACCCCGAAGATGACTACTCTTCGGGTGCTGCTGCACATAGCCGCTCAGCGCGACTACGAGCTTCACTCTCTCGACTTCAGCACTGCGTTCTTGCAGGGTAGCCATCACGAGGAGATCTGGCTTCGCCGTCCACCTGGCTTCACTGGCCACTCCTCTGTCTACTCGCCACTCGCTCTCAGCTCTGCCTTCGGATGAGTCCGTAGAGTCGAGTGGCCCGTACCCAGAGCTTGTTGGCTGCCTCATATACCGGATGACCTGCACATGACCTGACCTTGCATACCCTCTTAGCATCTTGGCACGCTATGTTGCTCCTGGGAGACACCGACCAGAGCACATGGCTGCAGCGAAGAGGGTGTTGCGCTACTTGTGCAGTACGTCGGGCATGGGGCTAGTGCTTGGAGGGCGAAGTCCAGTGGTCCTCACTGGGCACGCAGACGCTTCTTGGGCTGACGACCAGGCTACGCAGCGGTCGTCGCAGGGTTACACCTTCAGTCTTGGTTCCGGCTCTGTTTCGTGGCGGGCTACTCGCTCGTCTTCGGTTCTCGGCTCCAGTTGTGAGGCTGAGATCTACGCCGGGGCCATGGCTGCTCAGGAGCTTCGCTGGCTCACCTACTTGCTGACTGACCTTGGAGAGCCGCCTCGTTCTCCTCCAGTGCTGTACGTAGACAACAAGGCCATGCTGGCCTTGTGTCGAGAGCAGCGCCTGGAGCACAGAACGAAGCACATTGCTCTCCGCTACTTTCTTGCTCGTGAGCTGCAGCAGCGTGGTCAGTTGCGACTTGCGTACGTGGCCTCTGAGGCCAACACTGCTGATGTTTTCACCAAGGCACTTCCGCCTTGTGATCATCTGCGATTCTGCACTCAGCTAGGACTTGTCCTAGTCTTGCCTCACTTGCTCACCTCTTGACCTTGCTTGTAATCTTGCATATATATATACCTGCTCTTGCTTGTTTAGACTTATATATATATGTGTCTCCTCCTACTTGTGAACTGGCCTTGTGGCCTTGACCTTGTGCTCAGACTGTGTGGTGACGTTGTGATCCACCCTGAGCTTGCTTTGCTTTGCTTTGCTTGACTGGTCTTGTGACCCCTTGTTCTCCCCCACTTTTCCTATGGGGGTGTGTCAGATCATTATAGCTTATGCTTTTGTGTAGGCTATAGTGGGGTATCCCATAGGGGGTACAACCCAATTAGGGTTAGTACTTGTACCCACTTCATTCATAGTCCATTCATTCTCGTTCTCATTCTCACAAGTCGATCTCGAAGCAGTGTTTAAAATTTTAGAGGAACATCGGTTACTCACCAAGGGCTCCAAGTGCGAGTTTTTTCGGGATAGGCTAGAATTTTTAGGGCACGTTATTTCGGAGGCTGGAGTTGAAATCGACCCCAAGAAGCTGGATACCGTAAAAGCGTGGCGTCCCCCGACGAACATCACGGAGCTGTAGAGTTTTTTAGGGTTTGTTAATTACGTTCGTCGGTTCGTCCCCGACATGGCACGATTAACAGCCCCGCTAACAGATTTACTAGGCAAGGGGGTCGCTTTTACGTGGGGGGAGAAAGAGCATGCTGCCTTCTCTGCCCTGAAACATGTTCTCTGTTCACCACCCGTCCTACGCATCGCTGACCCACATCGCCCCTTCGAAGTTGTTACAGACGCAAGCGACATCGCCATTGGAGACGTACTGTTACAAGACTTCGGCAACGGCCTCCAGCCCATCGCCTACGAATCACGAAAACTGCATCCGCCTGAACGAAATTACCCGATACACGAACGCGAAATGCTCGCGATCGTGCATGCATTCAAGGTGTGGCGCTGCTACTTTACCGGCGGCTCGATTTCCTTGAGTCAAATTTCCATTATACGGTCACCTATAAAAAAGGAGCCTCGAATATCGCCGACGCACTGACCCGCCCCACTGCCCAGATCCATGCGATACTACTCGTCCAGACCAGCCTGCTACTGACAGGACTATTTACCCACGGATATCAAACAGATCCATTCTTCACAGGAGGAAACTCGCAGCAATTCGCAGCAGCCAAGGGAGTCTATTACGTAAAAGCTGGGACCGAACGCATCTGGGTACCAGGGTACACACTACTATGGGAATTACTATTACAGGAGGCACACGACACAGTTACCTCGGGACATTTCGGAGTAGAGAAAACACGGCAGCACCTGCAGCGGTATTATTACTGGCCCGAAATGTTGACCGACGTGCAACAACACGTGGCATCGTGTCCCACTTGCCAGATCATGAAGTCAACCCGGAAGCGGCCGGCGGGACAGTTGCAACCAATCCCACCTCCAGAGCGTGCTTGGGAGCAAGTGACGATGGACTTCGTCACGGGGTTACCGGCCGGGGCGAGTGGGAATGACGCAATCCTGGTCGTCGTCGATTGACTGACGAAAATGGCACACTTCGCAGCCTGCAAGAAATCAATCACAGCCGAAGAAACAGCCCGCCTCTTCATCTCTACCGTCGTTCGACTGCACGGGATACCAGCATCAATCATCAGCGACAGAGACACGAAGTTTACTAGCAACTTCTGGCGGAACCTGTGGCAGCAGTTCGGCACGCGCCTACAGTTCAGTTCATCGTATCACCCCGAAACCGACGGACAGACCGAACGGACAAACCAGACCATGGAACAGCTCATTAGGGCCACGTGTGAGGATCCAAACACGTGGGAACAGCAACTGCCACTCATCGAATTCGCATACAACAACGCCCCATCCGCCACGACCCAACAGTCACCATTTAACCTGAATTACGGACAAGACCCAACAGTACCCATGACCCCGAATCCCGACAACCCCGTTCCACGCTCACAACAGTTCGCTGAGATTTTGCAAGCAGCACGAACCAGGGCAGCAGAAGCAATCAAAAGATCAAACATCATCGCTAAACGCAACGCTGACCGCCACCGCAGACCTGTCACTTACCAGCCCGACGACCTCGTTTTACTCGACACTCAAAACCTCCGCCTGCCCATCACCCCCAAACTCCGCCCTCGATACTGCGGGCCATTTCGAATTAGCCATATGATAACACCTGTCAACGCGCACCTCCTCCTCCCTGCTGACTGGTACGTCAGCCCCTCGTTCCACGTCAGCCTGCTTCGCCCTTACGTACCATCCACAAGCCAACTCCCACGAAATCGCCCAGCCAGCATGGCTCGTCCGCCAACCGAACCAATAATCACCCCCGACAAAATCCTGAGCCACAGAGTTCGCGACCCTCGAGGAGCCCGAAAGATCGAGTTCCTGCTCCGCTGGAAAGACCGTACACCCACCGAGGACAACTGGGTTCCCCTGGACAGAATTGAAAACCACCCTGTTCTCACCGAATATCTGCGCAGCCGAAACTTCAGGGACGTCCACGCTCTTTCGTAAAAAGGACCTCCTTAGGAGGGGGGGTAGTGTAAGGAAAATCCCTTTTCCTTACTTCGCATCCCTGCTCAACGCGTACATCACTGTAGCACCTCAGTCAGCACCGTTACCACTCGCGATCCTCGCATCGACAATCATCCCGCCATCTTCGCACATCACACCCCGACCTCACGGCTCGGCTGGTAACCCGCGCTCCGGGCCTCCGCTTCGACACTTTCCCAACCTCAGTCCCAGGCTCGTCGCACGACAACCACAGTCCATTACCGTTATCACTGTAGTTTTGCTATATATTCTTCGCTCATGCCTTCGCTCATTGTATTCTTGCTTCGATAGTGCAATTCTCGTTCGTTCACTCAATTGCACTCGTAACACTTCGCGTCCCCGCTCAGCGCGTACACCACTGTAGCACCACAGTCAGCACCGATACCACTCGCAACCATCGCATCGACAATCCTCCCGCCACCTCGCACCTCGACCTCACGGCTCGGCGGGTAACCCGCGCTCCGGGCCTCCGCTTCGACAATTCCCCAAACCTCAGTCCCAGGCCCGTCGCGCGACAGCCACTGTTCATTACCGTTACCACTGTAGTTTCGCTATATATTCTTCGCTCATGCCTTCTCTCATTGTACTCTTGCTTCGATAGTGAAATTCTCGCTCGCTCACTCAATTGCACTCGTAACACGTGGTATTCAAAGCCTACGATCTCTTCTCGGACCGCACCCACACCTTCGCTTCCCCACTATCTCAATTTTTGGAGGGGGTAGACGTCTCTCAGCGACACAGCACCGCCGCTCGTAGTGCTCTCTCGTAAGCACGCACGGCCACGACAGAGGCTCTTGCTGAGCTTGTCAGAATGTTATTATCTAGCCTGTAGTGGGGTGCTCTATAGCGAGTACAACCCTGTTAGGGTTTGCTATATGTATCCCAACTACTGCTAGTGAAAACCCTTCTTTGTTCATTTCTCTCTTGCCTAGCTAGCTAAACACTAGCTATGGCTCCTCCCTGTGCTTACTCTTCTCACAGAGCTTGCCCGACACCCCCGCCATGGCTGAATTCACGCTCGCGACATTGACGCAGGAGCAGCTTGATCGTCTGGTGCGCCAAGTTGAAGAATCGGCGCTCGAAATTGCGACGCTCACGGCGAAACGTGACTCCGCGCGTCAGCAATCCACGGTGAACACTCTAGCGCCACCACACGCACCGACAAATGCATCTGCACAATCGGACGAGCCGATCGTCATTTCGTCCGGCACACCAACGCAACACGACAGCGTGGGACAGCGCTCAGGCGCAGCGAGTGATGGCGCCGCCCAGCCGATGCCTGGCATGGGAGGAAACAGGGTCGCACCAACCCTGCGGGAGCTTCGTGAAGCCCGTCGGCACGTGGAGTTCGCGGCGACAATTGGCGAATAGGCCATTATGGCACCAATGCCACTCAAGCCGCAACGCCTGCCCTGCTTTGACCCGAGCCAGCATGAAGGTCCGACGGTTCAATCGTGGGTCTTCACGATGAACGTCTTCTTCGATGCGAATTACGTTGAGTCGGACGCAGCGAAGATTCGATATGCCGTTTCGCTGCTGAGGGGCCCCACCATGGAGTGGTGGCGAGTCATCGTGACGTCGCCACGCGCCTACGAGCCACCGTCGCACGAGGAAGGGCCCACGGGTCCAGCTGTCACCTGGAGTTCATTCTGCGAGACCGCCCAGTACAGCACGTGGGATGCGTGGTGCGCAGGGCTTCGGGCGCGCTTTGAGCCAATCGCGGCTTCTATTTCGACGCGTCAGAGATTGCGTACTTCGCGGC